ATTGAAATATTACAAAAACTAATAATTTTAGGTATATAATATTATATATAAAAAAGTTATGGAATTTTACGCAGAATCTAAAAATAAAATAAAAAATAGGGTGTTGCATTTAAAAAAACATATGTTATAGCCGCCACACTTTTTTGAAGCACCTTGTATACTCTATAATAATTTTAAAATATGTATCTTAACCATCCCTATAACTTTTATATTAAACATTTTTTTGTAAACCTTGAAACAAATGAGATAATGGACTTTACTCTATCGTTGACTCACCTTGTACACTTAATGTCAAAGGAAACTAGATAAAATCAAGAAAAATATACGATTTAAAACTAGATGTTAAATAACTTAAAAACGATTTATTTTAGGAATAGGAACATGTATAATCAAAAAGTAACGAATTAAAAAACATTTTCGCTAGTGAAATAAAAAAGTGGGTTTCAATTTGAAAAAAAATATGATTATATTTTAATAGTTCAATGCTATGACAGCTACGACCAATATATGACATTCGAACAATTTAATTCTTCAAATACATAGCCACATGTCTTCTCTTTATATCACAGTGGCTATGGTAATCACTATGTTTGACGTTTAGGCTATATAGATTTTTTTGACAGGTAATTTTTTAATTTTAAATATTTTTTTCTCAAAAACAGTTAATGTCAAGTATAGAGTAAATTATATCAAAATACAGAATTTAAACATGTAATAAAAAATGGGGGTACCCATTTTAAATAAGAAATGCTGTCAACTTGCGGTACTTCCGGAAATGACGCCACATTGAAAATATTTTTAATCAATAGATCTCGTGAAACAATGATGTGCAAAAAATATCTGATTTAGATATTGTAGTTCTCTAGACACTTCGAATGCGCGCTTAACCTGAGACACCCTGTATACAGAAGGATATTAACTGTTAAAAAATAAGTAAAGCTTACCTGTGTAAAAAGCCAAGATGTTACAAGGGTAAGTCCGCTGTACTGACCATTAAATCGGTAGTGGTAGGCGTAGAATAAGAAGTGGTAAAGGTAGAAGAATCTGAAACAAAGAAAAATAAAATAAATTAAAGTTGCCTTCACTAACGTTCCTTCAATATCCTTACAAAAAAAAAAGTTATTTTTTGTAAACACCTCTCTGTGTTGAATCCAAAAAGAAAGTAGATTGTCAGAAGCTTTTTACTAGTTTAAAAAATTTGCCTAACCAACGAAATGCTTAACGTTTTAGAAGGTATATTTCCACCTGTCAAGCAAATAAAAACAATGAAAAAAAAAGAAATATCGATTTAAAATGTACAAATTTTCATGGTATACGTTTTATTTATTTGTTAAGGGCCTCAGCATAATAGTCTAAGAGCTAGCAACGTTTTCGAGAAAGTATTTTAAGACGTCTGGCTCTTTGATATATCTTTCACTATGCTCTCTGGAACAGCATGCGGCCCGTCTGGCTGCCGGTAAACGTTGTGTTCACTACTGCGCATCGGAAGAAGATTCTCTATTTTTTACTTAGCGCTTTAAATGCTAGTATTGAATAAAAGTCGAGTAAGTCTACATTAGCTCAGCGCGTAGAACTTTCGCCTATGAAGCGAAGGTCAGTGGTTCGATACCGGCTGGGTGCAACTTTTTTATATTTATTTAGTTTATATTCTGATAGCAAAGTATTAAATATTTGCTTTTTTATCACCAGAACGGATAGCGTTTATGGGTTTATGATCCATAGTGTATACAGGGTTGTTCACCACATACGACACCGGAGTATTGTAACTAAACGATTAGATTATTACAAATTGTAAGTTTTGGGTTCGTTGAAGGACTATTAGAGCTACAATTTAAAAATATTTTTACAAGATACAGAGTGTCCCAAATAAGTAAAAAATATTATACCTAGTTGTATTTTTTTAAATAGAACACCCTATATATTATTCTATTTTTGGATTCTACGATAGAAATAAAGGTAAATTTGATTAAGGTTTATCACACTTAAACCTTACGGTTTTTGAAATATTTTCAATTTTATGAAATTGCAGTAAAAAATTTAAGGCTTTATTTCTCCAAGGGTATCAAAGTTTTTAATACTAAATATTTACTGAAGATTATTTATTGATCAAATATTGTGTTGCAATAATAAAAATTTTACTACCTTCTACAGAGTGTCCAAAAATTTATATTAAATAATTACTAACTATAAACCGCAATAATTTGTTTAATATAAACGGAAAACCCTATATATTTTACGTGAATCAGATGTACAATGTAATTGTCTATCAAATTGTATTGTTCCATTTTTTACCCATCTCTTGAAGTTTTCATAGAAAATGCATTTTCTTATAATTTAGACCTCATTTATCACTATACCCATGGAACATTGACATTTTAGCTTATTTTTAAAGATGTAACAACTTTTCAAAGGGTACAGATACTAATATTGTCGATATAGTTCTCTTATTTAATTAAAAAATAAAAAAACTGTTTAAATATTTTTTGTTAAAGAGGACCGATTAATATGATCCCAGTATTCAAACTACATTATTTGACTGTTTACGTTGTAGTAATAATTGCTCCAAATACTAAAAAATTGAATTTTGTGTGTGTATTAGACAGTGTGGTAAAAAGCAACACCTTATAGATTTTACTTCATTATTAACGAATGCTTATTTATAAAAACAGAGACATTCATTTTTATAACTTATTATTATATTGATTTCTGAGCCAAATCCACATTTATTTAGAATAATTTTTTAATTAAAACAATTTATAAGTATGTAATTAACTAATTTTTTGTGTTTTTGGTAGGAAATAATGATGGTATATTTAATTGGTATACTCTTTTATAAATATTTAAATAGTTTATTTTGTATGCCAATGGGCTTGCAATATTTACCACCTGTACATTTTATATATATTATGGTGCTATAAAAAAATCTGAAATGTCAATATTCCATGGGTATAGTGATAAATGAGGCCTAAATTATAAAAAAATGCATTTTCTACGAAAACTTGAAGAGATGGTTAAAAAATGGTATTATAAAATTTGATAGACAATTACATTGTGCATCTGATTTACGTAAAATATATAGGGTGTTCCATTTAAATTAAACAAATTATTGCCGTTTAAAGCTAGTAATTATTTAATATAAATTTTTGGACACTCTGTATAAGGTAGTAAAATTTTTATTATTGCAACACAATATCTGATCAATAAATAATCTTCAGTAAATATTTGGTATTAAAAACTTTGATACCCTGGGAGAAATAAAGCCTTAAAATTTTTAATGCAATTTCATAAACTTGAAAATATTTCAAAAACGGTAAGGTTTAAGTGTGATAAACCTTAATCAAATTTACCTTTATTTCAATCGTAGAATCCAAAAATAGAATAATATACAGGGTGTTCCATTTAAAAAAATATAACTATAATAATTTTTACTTATTTGGGATACTCTGTATCTTGTAAAAATATTTTTAGATTGTAGCTCTAATTGACCTTCAACGAACCCAAAACTTACAATTTGTGAAAATCTAATCGTTTAGCTACAATACTCCGTGTCGTATGTGGTGAACAACCCTGTATAAGTAGAATTTGATACTTTCATTTGTTTTGAAGGATTATTGTAGTAATTAATTATTAGATAGGTTTAGGATGGCCTGGCTGCCGCGCCGGTAGGTTGCGTTCACTACTGCGGATCACATGGATAGAAGGTGTCTCATTTTCGTGCGTTTTTTGGGATTTGGGATATCTGGGATTTCTCGTTTATGAGTGGAGATACAATGATGCGTTTTTTTTCACATTACTTTGCTAGTTTTTTATGTAACTTAATATTCTACCCCTAAATTTGCTCATTTTCTACACATTTAAGTTTAAAAAGTATTATTATTTTATTTAATCTAATTTAACCAGATAATTTTGTTTTCCAGCGTTATCTTAACAAACTGAACTGAAAATAAACTTGTGTAGCTTTTAGATAACAATCTGTTAAAAAAAGTATTATTAAAATGATTATTAAAATAACAAACAACAGTTGAAAAAAATATTTTGAAGAAAGACAGGCAGAAATTACCTTCATAAAGCATTAAATTGTTAATTTTTATATATTATGTTTAAATCTTTAAAATGAAATTATAAACGACCCCCTGTACACATGTGATGCGCAGTAGTGAACGCAACCTACCGGCGCGGCAGCCGGACCATCCTAAACCTGTCTAATAATTAATTACCACAATAATCCTTCAAAACAAATGAAAGTATCAAAGTCTACTTATATACACTACTGATCATAAACCCATAAGCGCCATCCGTTCTGGTGATAAAAAAGCAAATATTTAATACTTTAATATCAGAATATAAACAAAAAAATAAATAAAAAAGTTGCACCCCCAGCCGGTATCGAACCACTGACCTTCGCTTCATAGGCGAAAGCTCTACGCGCTGAGCTAATGGAGACTTGCTCGATTTTTATTCAATACTAGAATTTAAAGCGCTAAGTAAAAAATAGAGGATCTTCTTTGGATGCGCAGTAGTGAACGCAACGGGTATCGGCAGCCAGACGGGCCGCATGCTGTTCCAGAGAGCATAATAAAAGATATATCAAAGAGCCAGACGTCTTAAAATACTTGTTTTCCCGACGTTGCTAGCTCTCGTACTATAACTGTCTAAAGCAGAGGTCTAAAATTGGTCTAACGTAAACATTCAAAAAATAATCTATTTCCTGTAATAATTGTTATGCGTAACCAACGATACACATAAGAAAATTGTTTATAATACCTTATAGTACGAGAGCTAGCAACGTCGGAAAAACAAGTATTTTAAGACGTCTGGCTTTTTGATATATTTTTTACTATGCTCTCTAGAACAGCATGCGGCCCGTCTGGTTGCCGGTAAACGGTGCGTTCCCTACTGCGCATTGAAAGAAGATCCTATATTTTTATTAGTCCTTTAAATTCTAGCATTGAATATAAGCCGAGTCTCCATAGCTCAGCACGTAAAGGTTTCGCCTATCAAGCGAAGAGTCAGAGTTCGAATTCGGGTCAGAACAAAAACTTTTTTATTTTATTTTCGTTTATATTCTGATAGTAAAGTACACTTCCCCAATAAATTAACGCACCACAAAAAAATAAGCAAAAGTTTAAGTTAAGTTCTTGTCAAAACCATTTATCCGATTTGGACGATTTTTTTTTTGAATGATAGGTTATTCTTTCCACAATGTTGTTATACTAACTGTATTTTGATAGGAACCCTTTTTATACTAATACCGGGTGTAGCAATTATAACGTGTTTATTTAATAAACTTTGTGACACCCTGTAGAGTTGATCAGTTACAGTATCAAGTTAAAATTGAAATCACATTTTAGCCTTATCTTTTTTTTACATTTTGTTTTTTTTATTTACTCCATTATCTTCCTTATTACAAGAGAAACATTTTATAGGATGACATGATTTAATATTGGTTTTAATTAACATTTTTCCATTTTACTCACTAAAGCAAGTAGCAGGCTATGGAAAAACACGGATTGCCAGTAAATGTCAAATAGAGATGATTGTTGTCAGTGTCAGTCGTTTTCGTCCTTTTATTATATCAAAGATATGCAACGTGCACGTGAAACAAGAAATCTTACTGGCGAAGAATGTGCTTAAGCATTAATATTGTCTGAGGAAGGTTGGAGCTACCGAAGAATTGGTGAACGATTTAATGTAACTCACTCAACCATTTCACGAGTTATACAACGGTATAGAGATACTGGGAGTAATTGTCGCAGGCCGGGACAAGGCAGGAATCGAAGAACCAATCCGATGCAGGTTTTTTAAAACTCTCAACATTAAGACAACGTTTCGTAACAGCTCGGACCCTTTAAACTCAGCTCAGAGGTACTAACGGTCTACAAGTTTGCACAGAAACTACCATCTCTATTTGACATTTATTGGTAATCCGTGTTTTTCCATAGCCTGCTACTTACTTTAGTGAGTAAAATGGAAAAATGTTAATTAAAACCAATATTAAATCATGTCATCCTATAAAATGTTGTTTCTCGTGTAATAATGAAGAT